TGCCTTCCCAGACCACAGCAGAGAGCTGGACTGGAAGAGGAGCAACTGGGACTAGAACCAGCACCTATATGGGATGCCGGTGCTTCAGGCCAGGGCGTTAACCCACTGCACCACAGCACCAGCCCCTCCCCAGCATTTAAATATAAATCCAGTCTCCCAAAAGGTTTTGGGATGGCATTCACAATTTTTGTGAAAAGTTGAACATTATTAAGTCCAATCATATCCTTAGAAGGGGAAAACAGTAGGGGCATTTACTGAACTGGAATTATACCAGAATTTCAGTAAACGCAATCCTATTTATTTAACCACACAAGGCAATCTTAGACTGATGAACAAAAATATTCTGTCAGCCATTCATGGTCTGAATTCTGGTGTATGAGAATTAAATTATGTTGTAGATATAAAAAAAGTCATGGGACATTCCTGTTTTGTAATAAATAAGGCAGTGGCCAACTATTACTCATTAGTAGCTTTTTTGAGATAAGCTGTCAAGTCTGCCCTTTCATTCAGTCTTAATGCTAGCAAAGATCATTTTGGTTCCAGGGATGTATTTCTTGGGCTTTTCCAAAGACTCCATCAGAGTGTCCCCCCCCCCCCCCCCGAGGTGTTGCCTTTGTTCTTGTTGGCGTCTCTGTTGGAGAATCCAACAGCCTGACCTGTCTTCTGTGCAGACAGACCGTGGAGATTTGGTCCAGTCTTGTGCTTGCCTCCCTTTTCCGAGATGTGGCACTGGGCACATTTCTGAACAAAAATCTTGCCTTTCTCAGCATCACCCATTTTTAACTCGCTCATTTGTTGCTCGTGCTTCACGGCCCCAACAGGGAAGCTGGATGTCCCGCTCTCTCTAGAATCTTTTGTTTTGACTTAGAACAACTGTTCTGATTACGTTAAAGTACATCATCTTTCTCCTGGAAAGTCAGTATGTAATTTTACCTGCTTCCAGTTAAGACCTCTGGTAAATGGTTAAGTTCATTTCTGGAAGTCTCTAGACTGAAAATGTGTAAAGGTCTGCTTCTTGAACTTTGTCACAATGAAGTTTTTTGGAGGATACTTTGCAATTTCATTACTAACTCCATCCTGTTTATTAATTGTTCTGTTAGAAATATAGTTGAGACCCCTATAACTGGTATGAAAAATAAAGGACTGTTGTAGAATACATTCCAAGAAAGCCTTCAGCTGACCCATTTGTCCTCATCACTAAAGAATTCACGTTGAGTCTCTCTGATAATAGAAACGTAGTTTAATAAGTAGTCACACTCCCTTGTTTGAGTTAAATGTCTAATAATATATTTTCCCTATCCTTTGGTAGGAGTATGAGTTTAATGTTTTAGAGCTGAGAACCAGAAGAGGGGAAAAAGGAATTGACAGGCTTGTAAGTCTAAAGTAGGATAATGAATATGTATATAATTGTGTTGATAATCTCAGACTTCTGTTTGCATTATTATGAACCTCTAAGCAATCAGTCTGTATTTTTATTGTACTGAACTATTTTTTAAAGGGTTTATTTTTTATTTATTCAAAAGAGTTAGAGAGAGGTAAAGCAACAGACAGAATCTTCGGCCTGCTAATTCACTCCCCAAATAGCTGTAATGGCCTGGGCTGGGCCAGGCCAAAGCCAGGAGCATGGAGCTTCTTCTGAGTTTCCCACATGGTTGCAGGGGCCCAAACACACGGGCCATCCTCTCCTGCACTGCTTTCTCAGGCACATTAGCAGGGAGCTGGATTGGAAGAGGAACAGCTGGATCTCCAACCAGTGCCAATGTGGGATGCCAACGTTGCAGGCTTAACAATGCTGGCCCCTCTTTTCTATTAGTTATTCACACTTTCCCTAAAGAGTTACAAATTGACTTTTTGTAGTCAAGATGAGAAAAGCAGTAATATAAACATTTCCCTAGGTAAATTTTTAAAAATTTACCAATTCTTGTATTGCTATTTTTACTATTACATACAACTTTGTGCTTGTTTGATTATCTCATTGACATAAATCCCTAGAAGTGGAATTGATGGATAAGTGATATGCCCATTTTTAAGATTTCTGTTACATGTTACCCCGTTACTTTCTAGAAAGATTGTATACATTTATATGTTTTCCTGAGAGTAAGCAGCTGCAGACTTCCCCACACTGTTGTCAACATTGAGTAAGTTCAGTGCATTTTTTGGTTGGTTTGGAATATGTTCAAACTGATATTTTAAAGCTTGTTATTTCTTTCGTTGCTAATGAAGTTGAGTTTTTCCATGTTTTGGGCTCTGTTTTTTTTTTTATACTTTTTTGTTTTTTTGTTTTTGACAGGCAGAGTGGACAGTGAGAGAGAGAGACAGAGAGAAAGGTCTTCCTTTGCCGTTGGTTCACCCTCCAATGGCCGCCGCGGCCGGCGCGCTGCGGCCGGCGCACCGCGCTGATCCGATGGCAGGAGCCAGGAGCCAGGTGCTTTTCCTGGTCTCCCATGGGGTGCAGGGCCCAAGCACTTGGGCCATCCTCCACTGCACTCCCTGGCCACAGCAGAGGGCTGGCCTGGAAGACGGGCAACCGGGACAGAATCCGGCACCCCGACCGGGACTAGAACCCGGTGTGCCAGCGCCGCTAGGCGGAGGATTAGCCTAGTGAGCCGCGGCGCCGGCCCATGTTTTGGCTTTTAAATTTAGATTTTCCTTTTATCAGAGCTGTACTTGACTTAAGAGATTCAGTAGTATATAAGACTTGTTTTGCAAATAGCTGACTTCCGTACTCTTCCATCTTTACTTGTGGCTCCATCCGGGTAACCCTAGCCACAACCCTGGCTGACTCCTTTTGTGTTTCCTCTCATAGTGCTGGGTAACATGCCTGTGTTGCCACTTCCTGCCTCCTCAGTGTTGGTCTTGTCGGTTGATCTCTGTCTTTGGAGAATGAAGATTTGATTGTGTGCTCTGTACCCACTTTCATGCACATCCCTTCAGCTCTCAGGGAATTGACTCTCTTTAATCAACTGTCTTCCTTTCAACCACCCATACCTCTCCTCAAGAATCCTTTGCTGGACCTTTTGGGGAAGGAGTTTCTAGAATCCCAATGTTGTCAGTTTAGTGGGGTTTTAGTGGAAATGGATGTAAAAGTATGTGTTCCATTTGCCATTTCTAACTGCAAATTTTTCTGTGTTTGTACTAATCATTTTTATAGAGTAATAGTTAAAATTGGAGGCCTTGGGATCAAGACTGTCTGAATTTGAATACTGGCTTAGCCTTTGTTAGATTTGTGACATTGGACAAGTTGCCTAAAATCTCTAAATGTCAATATTGTTAGTGTAGGATTTATAATGATAGCCACCATAGAATGTTGTAAGGATGAGGTATGATAAGGCATGGTAAAGTGCTGAGCACAATTTCTGCTGCCTGACAGTATCTTTGTATGTGCAAGTACTTAGTAAGAATACAAACTATACCTGTAGTTGTTGGTACTGTTGTTAACTTTTGTGAATTTCTTGCTTAGGGCCTTTGTCTAGTTTTCTGCTGGAATACCATCTTTTTCTTCTTGATCAAAGATGTCTTTTGTATGATCTGTCTTTGGTTTTTTTAAAAACAATTTTATTTATGATACTTGGGATATGTAATCATAACCATTTTATTTCATGTTGTGATCTCAGCTTTTGTTGTCAGATTTGTGTGTGTGTGTGTGTTTAAAATTTATTTATTTGAATGACAGAGTGAGACACAAACAGGGAAGGAGAGACAGAGACAAATCCTCCATTCAGTGGTTCACACCCCAATTGGCCACAATGGTTAGGGGCTGGGGCTGGGCCTGGCTGAAGCCAGGGACCTGAAACTCCATCCGGGTTTCCCACCTGGGTGGCAGGAGCCCAAGGCCATTAGCAGGGAATTGGATTGGAAGTAGAATAGCCAGGACTATTTGAAACTGGGCTCGCGTGGGATGCTGGCATCTCTGGTATCGGCTTAACCTCCTGCACCACAATGCCAGCTCCAAGAAACTAGGTATTGATAAGTAAGAAGTATATGTATACATGTATATGCTGTAAAGCTGGAGGCACATAGATCAGTGAGGAGATTCTTACAATATTTGAGGCATTTGATAAAGAGAAGTGAAAGCTAAAGGAAGACATGAATTTTTTTTTATTATTTGAGACATATATTTTGTAACTCCTTCAGTTGTGTCTGTGGTAGTTCATTTCATTGAGAAATTAATTTTTTTAAATGAAGTGGCAACACACTTTTTTTTTTCTTTGAGATTTATTTTATTTATTTGAGAGGTAGAATTACAGACACAGAAAGGGAGAGACAGAGAGAGGTCTTCCATCCACTGGTTCACTCAACAAATGGCCGCAACCGCTGGAGCTGGACCAGTCTGCAGCCAGGAGCCAGTAGCTTGTTCTGGGTCTCCCATGTGGGTGCAGGGGCCCAAGCACTTGGACCATCTTCTGCTGCTTTCCCAAGTGCATTAGCAGGGAGCTGGATCAGAAGAGGAGCAGCCAAGGCATGATCCGGCATCCATATGGGATACCTGCACCGCAAGAGGAGGCTTAGCCTACCACACCACAGCCCTGGACCCTTAAATTAATTTTTAAAAGCCTGTTTGAATTGTCATTGCCTTTCTAAGTAGGTTTCATTTGAACACTTAGAGCTTTCAGTTTCTACCTTAGTCCCCCTTTCTGTGAAGTTTTAGATCCAAATTTGACTCTTGAGTTATCAGATTTATCATGTCCCTAAGTTTATGCTGCATTAATGAATTTGCTTTCTTTTGAATATCTTAGATGATGTTGATATGTTGATATTCCCAAGTTGGATATCAATATGTCAATTTATATTCCAGAGTTGAATATCTAATACATTCTTGATATGTTGATATTCCAAAGTTCTAGTTATAGACACTCCATTCATTCACTAGTTGATTTTGCTGACTTGTCATTTTAGGTAGTATTGATTTTCTGTTTCCTTTTTATACATTTTGTCTTAGTTCCATAATTAACTTTATGATTCTTCAAATAACAGTTCCTCTAAATTTGATGTCTCTACAGATTCAGACCAGGATGTAGCACTCAAACTTGCCCAGGAGCGAGCTGAAATAGTTGCTAAATACGACAGAGTAAGTATCCATATTTACTCTTTGAGCGAGTTTTATTAGAAATATCGTATAAATAGAAATAGATTTGCTTTTTGGAGAACTTAAATTACAGAAACAATTTGTTTACTTCATAGAAACATTTAGCTTCATTTTCATATTCCCTTCACTCTGTTCCTCCAATTCATCCAGTCTAGTCTCTTAACTGTTCCTCCAGTACACCAGGCTTGCACTGCCTAGAACACTTGTAAGCTGGCTGTCCTCATGCCTCATCGCCTCACATTTTTCACATCTTTATCTGAGGACTACCTTCCTGTAAAATCTTCTCTGACTTTCCTCTGTGTTCAGTACCCCCAGTATACACCCTGGCACTCTGCAAGCCTTCATTTTTCACCATAACATTTATGTACATTCTATATGTTTTTCTTTATTTATTGTCTGCTCTCTCTCATAGAATGTAAACTCTCTGAGGGCAGGAATTTCTTTCTTTAATATACTCTCACGTCCTAAATAATTAGAACTGTTCTTAATTCATACTAGATACTGAATAAACACTTCAGTAAGTGAATCTGTAGAATTAAATACCCATTGTATTCATAATTTATGTGTACTATTCTAAAATTATCATAAATCTTAGATTTTGTCTTCATATATGTATAAATGATTTTCATTAGCACTTTACCCTTACATTAATATGGAATTTGGCTTTTGATGTCCTGAAAAGTCACAATTGTTTATGATTTACATGTCTTTATTTTTCTACCTCCTGAGTTCTATAATGAGTCGTAGCAGTGATTTATAAATGTCACTAGCATGTAATTATATTATCTGTTAATGTTTATTATTTGTGAGAATAAAGGGGCATGAAATTGTAGGAAGCCATCTGGACCATGCCCTGATTCCAGGGAGACATACAGACGGCACTCAGCTTAGCTGTTGTGATCGCAGGGTTCGTTTTTCAGTTGGTTGTTTAGAACATCAGCCAGAGTTTCCTATTATTCTAATTAGCTTTTAATGTGGTCTGTGAAAAACCTAATTAATTTCTTTCAACTGCTTAACTAATATAAAAACCAAAGTACCATCATTCATTGATGCTTCTGTGCCTCCCCCCGCCCCCGCCCCAGTTAACCAAGATGACCATTGTGTTAAGATTTGGGGATTTGTAACAGAAATGATATCCAGCAGTCTTTGACCACAAAATGCTGAAAATTTACTCAGAGGCAAAAATGAACAGACAGTTACAAAATATATTCACTTATTTGAAAGTATTCATAAGACGTTTGGATGTTTGAGTCTAAAATTTGAGAGAGTTACATTTGAGATTCCTACAATGATCAGTGTTAGTCAGCAACCTAAGAGTAAGTGATATCTGGGTGAGAATAGTGGGCTCAGAACAGAATTCTGGGTAGACAAGCAATTAATTACTCATGAAGGGCATGTGTTTGGTCTAGCAGTTAAGATGCCATTTGGATACACACACACACCATATCAGAGTGCCTGGATTTGAGTTCCGGCTGCACTTCTGATCCCAGCTTCCTACTAATGTGCACCCTGGGAGGCAGTGGCTGATAACTCAAGTACTTGAGTCCCTGCCACTCACGTGGGAGACCTGGATTGAGTTTCAGGCTGTGGTTTTGTCTTGACCTCGCCCCGGCTGTTGGAGACATTTAGGGAGTGAAGCAGTGAATGGAAGTGTGTGTTCATTCTCTCTTGAATAATTAAATAAATAAATAAATAAATAACAAAATCAATTAGTTGAATAATTTTTAAAAGTTATCCTTGGGAAAAAACCATCAAAAGATGAGTTTTAGAGGCATAAGAGGAACCAGTAGAGGACGGTATTGGAGAAGAGAGTGAGCAACCTTTAATACACTTCAGAGATTGATTAGATAAGGGCTGGGGAGTTCCACTGGGTCTGATAACTAGAGGGTCAGCTTGGGCCCTGGCAAGAGTAGTTTCAGGGCCAGTGTAGCCGTGAAGTAAACGTGAGAGGAGACAATGTGAAAGGCCTACTTGCAGGAGAAGTTTGGATGCCAAGGCAAAAAATGCTTTTTCCCAAGACATATTCACTGTAAAATGTTTAAGTTTGGTTGTTCATCCTTGAGTGGCATTCTCAGCCTCTATGGCTCCTCTTTCTTTGCCAGCTTCCCCCAGGAACCCTAGACTGATGCAGCCTCAGCTACCTGTGAACCTAACTTACATTGTTTGTAAATAGGAAAATAGTGATTACGTTGCCAGAAACTTAAGTTTAGAGAAAAAATGGTAAGGCTGATAATGTCTCATTTCTAACTCTTATTATAATACGTAAAAATAGCCCTTGTGTTTTGGTCTTTTATCTTCAAGAAAATATTCAATTTTATAAACTTGCAGCAGCACCCATTTTTGTCCTTTATTTCAGGGACGAGAAGGTGCAGAGATTGAACCTTGGGAAGATGCTGATTACCTTGTTTACAAAGTTACGGATAGATTTGGCTTTTTACAGTAAGTCCCAGAGATTGAAAGCTGGCTGTTTTTTTTTCATAGTTTCTATAATCACTTATTATATTGATTTTCTATAATTTTAATAGAATTGGTGTGACTAAGATTCCAGGATTGGTCCTGCAGTTTGATTTTTGGTACTAAATTCCTGGCATTTTCAACTTCTATGATTAAAATTGAAATACAGTTAAGAATATAATCTACTATTCTTTGTATTTTAGTAAGAATTTTAATTGCAGTAAATGAGTTATATTAATAATTTAGCAGAATTGAATACAAATGGGAAATAATTGGCATTTTTAAGAGTAATTATAAAACATTTCATTTTATATAAATGCATTTTAAAAATAATTAGCAATTAGAACTTCAGTGTTAGGCAGCCTAAACATGAGAAATGAAGGGAAATGCCGTGATCTTCCTTATAGTTGTTAATGTATTCATGATATTGCATCCTAAAATTGATTCCATTTATCCTGAGGAAGCTGCATAAACAGATGGGAGAGGTCTAGTTACAGTTATTAGTTATTTGGTTATTAGTTACCTGGTAATTAGTTATTAGTTATCTGGTTAAAGTGATTTTGACTCTAAGAAACATCCTGCAAATGGGGGCAGCCATTTTGTGCAGCACTTATGATACTTCTCTGGATGCCTCTGTCACGTATCAGAGTGCCTTGGCTCTGCTTCGTTTCCAGCTTCCTGCTAATGCACACACTGAGAGACAGCAGTGATGGCTCAGGTACTTGAGTCCCTGCCACCCACGTGGGAGACCTGGATGGAGTTCACAACTCCTGGCTTCAGCCTGGCCCAGTCCTGGCTTTTGGGGGGAGTTGGGGGAGTAAACTAATGGGTCAGTATCTCTCCCCTTGCCTTGGTCTTCCAAATAAAAATTAAAGGAAAAAAGCACGCTGCAAATGATGTGAATCTGGCATTGTTTCATGGCGTTCTCACAGGCTGGGGACATCTATTCATCTGCATATTTTGGTTGTGTACAATTTAAGAATTAATTTTCACTCATATATACTCTTGTAGTTGCATTTCTTGTAAACGAGAAAAAACCAATAATTTTATTTTATAATATCACTGAATTTTAAAGGAAAAGCACAATTTCTTGTGTGGTTCATAGCAATAACTTATAATGTTCAGGCTTTGTTTTTCTCCTGTTTCATTTTTTATTGTGATTATTTCATTTTGAAATATTTTGTTTCATACTTTTCTCAAATTAAAACAATCCAGACAAGCAAACAAACAGAAACCATTCTAGGAGTTAGAGAATGTCTGTTCTGGAGTCTGCTGTTATCTGGTCAGTTAACCTTTTCATGCTTCAGCTGTAAGACAGGAAACAGTAGCTGCTTTACACATGAGAGGATGTCAGAAAGTTTGTGGAAAGCTGGAAATAAAAAATAAGTTTATTTTGGTGTAAAAATTTGGAAATTTATTGTACATTTTTAGAATATGCATTTTTAATGAACTTTTTGAATATCCTAAAACTTAAGAGTATTGAGGCCTTGAAGAAATGAAATGTAAGAATATTTTATAAATTTCTAAACAAATATAAGATGTTATTACTGTATCATGACATTAGAGTATCTGAAACATTCTCCAGAGGAATTAGAATTGGAACACTTTGAACTTTTATAGACTGAGAGCAGTATTTAACTGAGATGAAAATACTGTTCTCAAATTAAACCACCACCCCCACTTTATTTTTAAAATCAGACTTAGCCACAAATGTGACAGGAAATGATTGCACAGTTGTTTAGGTTCATCAGCAGATCTAGAGTATGTGAATAACATTTTGAAGGACAATTTGAACATGAAGATTTTTGAAATGTATTGGGTCTCAAACTTGCCTGCATGTTAGGATCAGCTAGGAAATAAAAAAATGTTTTGCTTCTGTTCTGGATTTTGAATCAGAAGGTAGACTCTCTGCTATTTTTATCTTTCCAAAGTATTTCTGATGGGAGTGAACCGTTGTAACAGATAATATTTTTATTGTAAAATGGTCTGATTTAGTATGAAGTATATATGAAAAAGTTGTGCATTTCCAAAAGATCTGCTAATTACCTAAATTTTTTTTCTTGATGCATGAAACATGGGCTGGGCCTTAGAAACAAGTAGTTCTGGCTCAAGAGCAAAACTTATATTTGGCAGTCTAAAAATTATAGTTAGTTATTTCATATTTATTTTTTGTTCTTCATGCTGAGTTCCACTTGGCTCTAGTGGAAAAATGTTAGTAACTTATCTTAATTATATTAGCTAATGTTTGTGGAGCACTTATTGTGGCAGGTGCTGTTCTAAGCCTTTTACATTGATTAGCTCATTTATCCTTTGGGAAACTCCTTGGGGAAGGTGTACTTTTTAATCTTTTTATTCTTAAAATTTTATTTTTTATTTATTTGGAAGGTAGAGTTACAGAGAGAGGAGGAGAGACAGAAAGAGAGATCTTCCATCTGCTGGCTCACTCCCTAAATGGCTGCAATTGGCTGAGCCTGGGCCAGGCTGAAGCCAGGAGCCCAGAGCTGCTTCTGGGACTTCCACGTGGGTGCTGTCTTTCACTGCTTTCCCAGGCCTTTAGCAGTTAGCTGGATCAGAAGTGGAGCAACCAGGACTTGCACCGTTGCCCTTTTGGGTTGCTGGTGTTGCAGGCGGAGGTTTAACCTGATAGGCCAAGAAGCTGTCCTCTTTTTTGCCTTTTAAATAGACTGAATCACAAAGAGATGAGGTGACTTGCCCAAGCTAAACTGTGGCTAATGTTAGATCTAGGATCTGGCGCCATCTTGGTAGTCTTCCTGCAGAGTCCCTATTTGGGACAACTAGTGCATACTGCCTGTTATTGCTTTCTCGTACTTTGCATAAGAGAAATATGGAATAGGTGCTTTTGTCACCATTGGTCACCATTGGCTGCTGGCTTGCCTGGGTTCCTTTCAGGATAATTACAGTTTGGAGAGATGAAACTAAGCAAAAATTTAATGAAGTGCCTTCCAAGGCAGGACCAGGGCAGTTGTAAGACCATGTGGCAGCCTTTCTTCCTGGTTTGGGGCTTTTATCCCTAAAATATGAGGGGCATTGACTAGTGATGTGGCTGTGATGCTCATGATTGGGATTTGTGATTGACAGCTGGGAGTTGCATACTTTTAGTCTCTCTGCATCTGAGGTTACAAACTAGACTTTTCTAGTTTGTCATTTAAACCTCAGAGTGGATGTTCTTGAGTGGGTTCCAGCAGATAGCAGAGTTCCTGGTCCCCCTCCCCCTAGGATGAGGGTTTTGTGGCCCCTCCCTAGTCAGTCATGTCAAGTTATCTACCAGACACTTAGAAATGCCTAGCAAAAAAATTGAAGGGGAAAATAGAGTACCTTGAGGAAAGATACTGTTTGAAATGATTGAAGCTCACTGCTTTTTTCTGAACATGAATACAGTGCAGTTCTCATACTATTACACTGATTTTTTTAATTTATTCTATAAATAAAATTCTAAAGCAGGCAAAGTGAAATAATAAGGCAGAGAATTGGATTTTAGTGTAATGTTAGGTCTTGTTAAATTTCACCTAAGTCATTGAATTTTGTTAGAATGCCTAATATGAGTGAAAACTTCTGCCAGAGGTTGCTTTTGGTGACTTTTATGTCGTTGTAGACTGGATTTTTTTTACATGTACTTGGATATTAAACTTCCTGTGACACCTTGATATAGAGAACATTTCCTTCTGTTTTCATAGTTCTTTGTAATTTTTATTGATTCTGCAATGAAATTGGGGTTTAACTGTCAGTGTCAATACAGTAAAGTGGCCAAAAAAATTACTTAGTAGCCTTTTCTGAAGGTTGCTGAGTTCATATCTGAGTATAGTTTTAGAAACTGTACTTAATTGTTATGATATATGAAGAAGTAAAAATAATTAACAATGATAGTGAAGGACTAACCTGATTTTATAATAGATTTTACAGTGAATCTTAAAACTCCTGCCAAAGCAGCCTGGCTTGGTGGTAGAACAGCACTGTCTTTGCTGTGTATCCAGCAGTGAGTGGGGTGTCATCCCCAGTCTGTGTGGCTGTGATCGAGTTACGGCTGGAGAATGGAGAGACAGAGCCTGTGAAAGAAGTTGGGGGAACTTTAACATTTTAGTCAAAAATAGTCACTGCTAGTCAGCTTAAGAAAGAATGCTTGGTATTTGGACAGATAATGCTTTTAGTCATAAGTTATTAATAGAAGAAATTAAAGAAACTGTACCAAAAATAGGGGAGATAAAATTAATGTCAAGGATCAGATTTTCAACTCCTTATCAAAATATGTATACTTATAAAATTCAGCAGACTATATGTAGTTTACTGTGACTGTATAACAGGATGAAAACCAGGATATAAGGTATTTTTTAATTATTATTATAAAGAGTATCTGTTTGGTTACGGCATCTGAGAATTGTTTCTGCCAGGCTTATAAATTTTGACTAGAGTGAATCTAACCTTGGATAAAATTTATTTTAAAACTAAAGTGAAATTTAGCCAATATATTCAATACTTATGGATTTTTTTTAAAGATTTATTTTATTTATTTGAAAGAGTTACAGAGAGAGGTAGAAATAGAGAGGTCTTCCATCCACTGTTTCACTCCCCAGATGGCCGCAACGGCCAGAGCTGCGCCTATCTGAAGCCAGGAGCCAGGAGCTTCTTCCCTGTCTCCCACAGGGGTGCAGGGGCCCAAGCACTTGGGCCATCTTCTACTGCTTTCCCAGGCTGTAGCAGAGAGCTGGATTGGAAGAGGAGCAGCCATATGGGATGCCGGCGCGGTAGGCGGAGGATTAACCTACTGCGCCGGCCCCTACTTACTGATTTTAACAAGTTAAATTTTAAGTTTCCAAATGAAAGTTGTTCTCATAGTTACAGACTACTCTCTGTGACCTGTTGGAAGTTTATAGACACACACATGCTAATTAGTAAATGTATTTAAAGTTGCATTGTAGATGAAACATGTATCCAGTTAAGGCCCCTCTCCTTCCAGTGATGACTGTGTTGTTGTCTTAATGCATTTTTCTCTGAAGTACAGCTATGTGCTGTCAGCCCAGTGTTTGCTCTAAGTGGCCTTTAGGTGCCCTTAGACCCTTGTTCTCAATAGCAGGAATTGGCAAGCACTTTCTTTAAAGAACCAATATTTTTGGCTTTGTGGTCCCGAGGGTCTTTGACACAACTATGCAACTGTTATGTTTGTACCATGAAATCAACTCTAGGCAATATATAAATGAATGAACATGGCAGTGTTCTCTTAGAATTTATTTACAAAGACAAGCAGCGAGCTAGTTTTGACCCATGGACCCTAGTTTGCTGACATAAAGGAGCACTCATTCACCCAGATTGTGGTCCTTCCTGTTTTCTACTTGAAAGATAGGTGACAAGATAAAAATCTGTCATCCGTGCATGCAGGCCTGTGTTCATCCTTCCATTCATTCATTCATTCAGCAACATCTTTTTTTAAAAAAATGTATTTATTTACTTATTTGAAAGGTAGAGTTACAGACTGATGGAGAGACAGAGAGAAAGGTCTTTCATCTGCTGTTTCACTCCTCAAATGGCCACAATGGCCAGAGCTGAGCCAATCCAAAGCCAGGAGCTTCTTCTAGGTCTCTCACGCAGGTGCAGAGGCTCAAGGACTTGGGCCATCTTTTTTTTTTTTTTTTTTTAAACATTTCTTTCTTTTTTTTTTTTTTTAAAGATTTATTTATTTATTTGAAAGTCAAGAGTTACACAGAGAGAGGAGAGTCAGAGAGAGAGAGAGAGAGGTCTTCCCTCCGATGTTTCACTCTCCACTTGGCCGCAAAGGCCAGAGCTATGCCAATCTGAAGCCAGGAGCTTCTTCTGGGTCTCCCATGTGGGTGCAGGGGCCCAAGCAAGCACTTGGGCCATCTTCTACGACTTTCCCAGGCCACAGCAGAGAGCTGGATTGGAAGTGGAACAGCCAGGACTAGAACTGGTACCCATATGGGATCCCAGCGTGGTAGGCGGCAGCTTTACCCACTATACCACAGTGCCGTCCCTAGCAATTCCTTATTATTATTATTATTATTATTTTGAAAGGCAGAGTTAGACAGTGAGAGAAAGAGACAGAGAGAGTTATAGACAGTGACAGAGAGACAGAGAGAAAGGTCTTCCTTCCATTGGTTCACTCCCCAAATGGCCGCTATGGCTGGCGCTGCGCCGATCTGAAGCCAGGAGCTGGGTGCTTCCTCCTGGTCTCTCACATGGGTGCAGGGACCCAAGCACTTGGACCATCCTCCACTGCCCTTCCGGGCCACAGCAGAGAGCTGGACTGGAAGAAGAGCAACCGGGATTAGTTACCTGGCACCCCAACTGGGACTAGAACCCCGGGGTGCCAGCGCCGCAGGCGGAGGATTAGCCAAATGAGAGACAGCACCAGCCAGCAATTCCTCATTTTACAGAGTTTTATTTAGTTCATAAATCCTGGGGACAGTTTTTCCTTAGTCTGATTTTTTTTTTTTTTTTGAAGATTTATTTCTTCATTTGAAAGTGAGAGCTATGGAGAGAGAATGAGAGACACATCTTCCATCTGCTTGGTCACTCCCTAGATGGCCACAACAGCCAGGGCTGGGCCAGGCTGAAGCCAGGAGCCTGTAGCTCCATCTGGATCTCCAGTGAGGATTCAGGGACCCAAGCTCTTGGGCCATTTTCTGCAGCTTTTTCCAGGCCAATAGTAGGGAGCTGGCTTGGAAGTGAAGCAGTAGAACCACACTAGCACCTATATTGCAGATGGTGGCTTTACCTGCTACCCCACAATGCCAGCCCCGACTTATTCTGATTTTTAACAGTCATTTATTTGAGCCAGGAGTGGGAGTGGTGGTTTGGAGTGGAGGCTGGCAAACCATGACCTGCAGGCCTAGTCCAGTGCACCACCTGTTTTTGTGAAAGCTTGGTAGGAACAAAGCCACACTCGATTTACATGTTGTCTGTGGTTGCTTTTGCATTACAACATCAGAGTTCAGTAGTTGTGGACAAGAACGTATGGTCCCCAGAGCCTATACTATTTATTATTAGATATTGACCCTGACAGAAGTTTGCTTTACTGTGTCCTGATCTAGGATAGTGTTGTCCAGTAGAACTTTGTGTAGTTACAGAAGTGTTCAATATGGCAACCTCTAATTACTCAACCTTCATGCACTTGAACTGAAACAGATGAAACTGAGTAATACCATGTTAAATTTTAATTTCTTATAAATAGCCACATGTGGCTGCTGTACTGGACAATATAGGTCTGGAGATTTGAAGATAGAGACTGTTGTAATTATAGAAGTTATTGTTTTATATTGCACCCAGTGGAATGTAAGCTTATATAATTCCTGTAGTAACTAATAAATACTGATTATCGTGTGTGTGTGTGTGTGTGTGTGTGTATTTATATAGCCTTACAGTTGTGACAGGTCTGCTATGAGCTCACTGATAACATACATTACCTTCCTTCTGCAGTGAGGAGGAGCTCCCGTATCATAATGCAGCTGTGGAACGGGTAAGTCCAGCTCTTCTTGTATTCATAGTTACCGGTGAGTTGTCAGCCTACCACTGTTGTGATCTGAGTGCCTGATTGCTCATGTCACTGTCAGAAAGCAAACTAATGATGATATAAGTGTGGGGGACTTGATGCGACTCTGATAGATATGGGAGAGGAAGGAAAGGTAACAGTTACCAGAGAAGATGTGCATTTTAGACTGGTGTGTCCCAGTCTAGACTTAGAATGGGGGGCCTTTGAAGAACCCAGTGGCTCAAGCCCTACCTCCATCTGTGAAAATCAGCCTGTCTGTGCCACAGGCCCAGCTTTCCAAGTGATTCTCATACCCTCTGGCTAATCACGTGTGCCATTCTAGACCAATAGTTCTTTGGAATGTAACTGTTCGATGCCAATTAATAAAGTTCCTACCCTCAACAGCAAATGTTTTCTGTAGTCAAATAAGTAAACTTGTCAGCAGTTTGTAACTTTCCCTCATTACACTCGCAGTGGTGCCATACCTGGGTGTGCATGAGAAGTAGGCACTGAATGTTTCAAGGCTGCTCAGAATCTCTCTTCCCCTCATTTATTTCTGTACCAAAAGATGAACTGTAGAATCAAAGTGAAGGCTTGGATCGGAATTTCCTCATTTTGTGCATGTTTGATTAGAGAAAGGAGCTGAATTTCGGTTAATAGAGGAGAAATTAGAAATGAAATTTGAAAATATTTTAGAAAAATCTTTGTGAATTCAAAGCTTTCTGAAAATAAAATTTGTATAAAAACCTTTATATGTAGACAGAATTGCCATTTCCATATACGAGGAAGCTTCAAATAGTTTGTAGAAAATGCACATTATACCATTTTTTCAGGAACTCTTTGAAGCTGCCTCATATAGAGATCCCAGTAGGAACTTGCTACAATTGAGTGGTCTTGTCATGACCTGGTTCTTTGTTAGCATGGAACCCTAAAGGTTTTGGCAAATGAATTTGTTTCTTTTAGTAGTTATGTTATTGACTAGCAACCGTGTATCAATCAGTAGACTAACCGCTCCCTCCAACAGTAGGATTAAAAAAGAAATAGATTCTGCCTTTGAGAAGCTCACTGTCCAACATCTAAAGGAAGATCAAGTGATAGAAGAGGTCAGAGAGTACTGGGAGAGCATATTATGAGTGAAATGGAATGGCGTTGTTGGTCTTGGGGAAAGCAGGTTCTTTCTAGTTGTGGAATGAATGAGAAGGAAGTGACAATAATGATGGGTACATTAGGTGAATTCTGCCACTGGTGAACTGTGTATCTGCCCATTTGGAATGAGGACTTAAGGATTCATTGGACCTCTGACCATCACCCTCTTGTTCAGTGCCCTGACTTCACTGTTCCTCTGGCCCACTGATTACACTACTATATTGTGTCTTCATTTGTATCTTCTATGCCAGCTCAAATTCTGTTGTAAGCCATTACAAATGATCCCTCACTTGCCATGGTTCAATGGTTCTGCCCTCAGTATTTTTTATGTTATGATTTTGTGAAAGCAGTACATGTTCAGTAGAAACTGAGTTTTGCGTGTGATATCTTCCCAGGCCCAGCACCATGTATGATGGTCTCTCCCAGCATTTCCAGTCAGCCCCACGGTCATGAGAAACAACCCACACTCCACAGTGTAGTAGGTTTCTAAGCTAGGATGTTCTATAGGTGGGTTCAGTGCATTTTCAATTTAAAGTAGCTTTATCAAGATGTAACCTTATTGTAATTCGAGGAGCATCTGTGTTATCACTCAGCTATAGCCTCAACTCTTTGCCTGCGTTCTTGATTTTAAGCTAAAGTGCAATGCTAGGTGAAGCCAGCTTTCTCCTGCTCCTCGTGCCTGGAGTTGTTCGGCTAAGTATGCCTGGAAACATCTAGCTGGCTGACTGGTTGTTATTTAAATCCATGATCAACTGGACCACGAGAGCGTTGCCTGGAGTCCTCCTCTTTCTGTAGTCTCCCTTCCGCACTGTTTGAACCTGCTCTCCTCAAATCTCCAGTGTCTCCATTTCCGTCTCCGTCCTTTCTCAGCTGCTGCTCTTCCTTCAGATTTCTTAGAAGGAAGTCCTCCCAGAAGCAGCCAGAAGAGAGCATCCACAGGCTGCCCCCATCCCTGTGAGTGCCTTTCTGCTCTCCCAAGAGTGCAGAGTTGCTTCTTCAGGAACCCAGATCCAGCGTTCTTTTGTCTGCCTCCTGAATTCTTTCTTGTTTTCCATCACAGTGTGCTGTTACTACTCTCATTAAGAGAAGTCTTTTGACCTAATTTCCTCCTCAGCCATAGCTCTGATTCTGTTTCTCTTAATAGCAAAACTCATTTAAAGAGGTATCTCTACATTTTCTCTTTTCCATTTTTCCTTATACTTCTTTCTTGTGTCCATCTAATCAGATTTGAACCCTGCCCGGTGACCCTTATCGGGCTCTCTGATTACATCTCTTCGGTTACATCGAGCAGTCAGTTCTCAATCTTTGTCTTGCCTTACTCCCAGAGCATTTGATGTTGATTCCTGTCTGTCTGAATACATTCTCTTTCTTGGATTTCAGAACCCAGACTCCTCATATTCTTTGTTCTAAATGGCTCTTTCTTATTCTCTGTCTTGTTCCTTCTCCCAGCTCTCTACCCTTTGGGATGCCACATGTCTCAGGCTCTTCTGTCTCCTTTTATCTTTTTCCCTTGGGATCTTTTGGCTTTAAATGCCAACTATATGTTGATGACTTAGCTCCGTGTACCCCAGACTTATATATCCTGCTATATGCACTTCAGTGTCTAGGCTTAAATGTCTTGACTTGCATATGTACTTAGATGTCTGATAAATGTCTGAACTGCAGTTTCTGTCATTCTCTTGAAATCCATTCCATGAACAAACTTCCCCATCTCAGCAAATAGGAGCTCCAGTCTTCTTGTTCACTGTGAAATCTTCTGAGTTATCTTTGACTTTCCTTCACACCTGAGGTCTCTGATGGCGTCTCACTGCCTCTGCTTCTGCTGCTCTGGTCCACTTTGGTCTCTCTTTTGGAGCTTCCTGTCTTCCTGATTTGATCATTGCCTTTTCCCCGCAGTCTCTCTGTTCATTTAACAGTGAGAATGATCCTGTTAAAATAAGTAGCATGTCACTCTCTGACTGGAACTTGATGGTGGCTGCCCGTCTGCCCCAGAGGAAAGGGCAGGAGCCTACATGACCTTACAAAGCCCCGTGTGATGAGGCTGCTGTGAATTCTGGCCTCTCCTTCCCCCTTCGCTTGCTTATCGCTTGCTGGCTCCTTAGATCTCATGAGCATGCCACTAGATTGCTTCTTTTAGGCATTTTCTACTGCTGCTTCCTTTCTTGGGGTGCCCTGTCCCTGACCCATAGCTACAAGGCTGAGTCCCTCATCCTTTGACATATTACTCCCATCTAAAATTGGAAACCGTCTCTCCCCTCAGTGGTAATTAGCCTCCTCATTTATTTTTATTCTTATATTTAGCACTTAACACTTTTTCACATGCTATATATTTTTTCTTATTTCTTTATTTTGTCTGTTTTCCCCACCAAGGGGTGACCTATATGAGGGTAGGTTTATTTTCTTCAAAATGCTTTGTTCATTGCTGCATCCACAGAATATAGAGCAGTACTTAGCACACAGTCTATGTCCAGTAAGTGTGGGCTAAATGAATGACTTAACAAAATGTAATGACTTCTCTGTAACATCAAGTACATTGATTTAAACACTGTCAGAGATGACCCCTTCAAATGTTGCAAAGTCCTGCATTTAAAAAATTAGGTAAGAGTTGCAAGAAAATAACATATATCTACATTTGGCAAAATAAAATCTGGCAACTCAATATTACTGCTTTTCCCAGTGTCCCCCTCCCTCTTTGCGTAACTTACTGGTTCAGAAAACCCAAAAGTGTTCACACTGGTAATTTAGATGACTCAAGAAATATGACAGTGAAGAAAAAGAAGAAACGTAAGACAGAGCTAGCAGAGGATGTGTGCTGGAGGAAGTTTGTTTTTAAATTTTTGTTTTTTAATAGACATGCTTCTACAATAAAACTTCTTACCAATGGAATTAGGCTTACGATTTATTGATTGTTTAGAATTTAATATGAGGGTACTCCAAAAAGTTCATGAAAAATGGAATGAAAAGATAGATTTATTTTGGTATAAAAAGTTTTGACATCCATGCATAATTTTTTCATAAATACATTTTTCACAGACTTTTTGAAAACCCTTCATATGCATAGATTTCAATTTTTTTGCACCAGATCAGCATCTTTCAGCTGCATTTTCCATGAACTTTTTGAAGTACCCTCATAATAGGGAATTGATAAAAAGTGATCTCTGCCTTCATAATTTTTTCAAAAATAAGACATAATTTTGTATTTAGTTGTGTTAATCTTTGTGCTTTGGGAGAAGGACAGGGTTCTGAGGCTGCTGATGGAGGTTCCCCATGGCCTTTCCTACATAGGCTGCACTGAGACTGTCTGACCTGCCTTTTACAATTTTGGTTTCTTTGGAGTAGAATGGAAACATTTTAGTTCATCATATCCTCCTCACCCCAGAGTTTTTCTGGCTTAAGTTAATATATTCTGTGGTGACTGCCTAGTCCTAGTGGCCAAGCTCTGCTAATTTAAGGAAACTAATACAAAAGTATTTTACTTAGGTTTTTTGATTGTATGGAATCAGTGGTGATGATAGCCTGCTGCAGTGTACAGTTTTACAAAACACCCACGAAGCTGTACTTCTTGCCGTTTGGGAAGACTAATACGTTAGTTCATCATCAGGTAATCATGGTTTTACTTCCAGCTTTGCCAGTGTATTATTTTACATAAGGCACCCTCTGTTTAAAATAGGGATGGTAATCCTCCCTCCTAAGAGGATTAATGTTGGTGTTTGCAAAGTGCTCTGAATTCCCCCAAACAGACACTGAAACCAACACACGCACTTATTATATTTAGTCTGTAGAGAACAATATTAATAATGGATTATATTGTTTCATCCAGCTTATTGATGTTTTTAATAAGG